TCTAATTCTGGAGTTGTATCAGCTGCCACAAATAGTATGGGAAAATGCTATGCAGATACAGTAGCCATAGGAAATGGTGCAAAGGTAAGCATCAAACTTTAAAAATATGAATTATTATTATTATTATTTTTAAACTTATAGAAACCGGACCTAATTTATATGAATACTGCTTGGACAACTGTTGCTAGCAATTCAAGCAACATTGCAATTATTGCACTATCTCCTCAACCTAATAACGTTACTATAAATGTGATATCAAGCCCAGTGGAAAATATTCGGCCGTAGCTTGGGATATGGTTTAAGGTATTTTTATTATTTTCATAAAATTCTATTTTGTATTTAATAAACTTCACTTATATATCATTATTTTGAATAAGATTACAAAGTCAATCAAGAAAGCTATCAGAAAACTTAAAAAATAAACCTCTTTCAACTTGAGTTTGTCAAAGACTTCAGGCAACGGCGGTGTTAATTCTAATGAATATTTTGCATCTCATTCTCCTTCGGAAGAATTTTTAAAATGATGTCGTCAAACTTTACGTGGTTGAATGATGTGAAAGGTAAATTTTTTTTCATTTATATTTATTTATTTATAAATAAAATTAATGTACACAACTTTCTTAATTAGGGATTTTATTCAGATGTTGCTTACTTTCCCACTTGATCCTCCTCACATCACTATTGAAATCTTGCAAGATTCGATTTATGCTAATTCGCCAATTCTAGATGATCAAAGATTTGCTGATGAATTTGTCAAGAGACGTAAAGCAGACGATAGCCGTAAGTAGTTTATTATGCATAATATAATCTTGGTCGTTTATACGATGATTCGGTATCTACAAGCAACAAAATCTGGTCATCTTCTTATCACACATAATCTTGGTCGATATACGAAAATAGAACAACAAACCGTAGTCTTTTAAGTGGTATCGTGAAACGGCCAACAATCAAAGTGATGCGAGTAAACTTTTTGAAAAGGTAAAGTTAAACAATAGTTTAATTACTCGTCTGTTTTTATAAATTACATGATTTAAAAAATAACCTTTTTGATGTAAACAACTTTATTTAAATAAAAAATTAATGATTTTCCAGCTTTATGCGCTTTTTCTTGGCTTTCTGTTCTAAATCCTTACATTAATATAGCCATTAGACTTATACATTCTTACTTTATTTTATTTGCAACTGTAATAAATAAAGATTTTTATTTTGAAAATGTTGCTCATTTTAAATGATTAGTTGATACTATTTAATATAATATTGTAATGACATAATATAAATAAAACTAAAATCATAATTAAAATATTTTTTACTCATGAAATATGCATATTTCAAAAGTAACTACAAAAATTAAATCATCAAATAAAACATTTATTATATTAAAAATAGTATCCTTTTTTCAATACTAACTTGATTATTAAATATTTTCAAATTAACAACCCAGTTCTTTTTCTTTTCTGATATCTCATTTCATCATACATATAATTTAAGTATTATCGCCTATAAATTCATATTTCAAAATAGAATTTCATTCATAAAATAAAAAGAATAAAATATTAGTCTATTTGAATCTGTAATGGTTTCTTTATTTCATCAGTAGTATTAAAAATAATGATTAACTATCATAAATAGGCAATAATAATATCCTATCAATTTTATTCATAGTAATTCCAAAAGGTGTTTTCTTAGAAAGATTATGTTTATTGAATAGTTTATAATCTGAATTATGATGACAAACTTTAACATATCATTTAAACTTTTTGGGATATTTAAAAAGTCTAATCTATTTAGATCTTTTGAATCCAACCTTTTTTGTTATTCTAATAATTTATGTTTTTTTGATATCTTGTAATTGTAGCTAAATTTATAATAATTTCAACAGTTTATTTCAAATATAATAGCAAAGATAGTTCACATTTTACTTATTTTTAAAATATAGTATCTAATTATCGATTATGTCTTGCATCTATTGATTATAATATAAGATTATACTATTATAATTATTTGGAATAAATAAGAATTTGTAATATATGTTACATTACTTCAATTTTATTTCATATTTAAAATACTTATATTTTCTTTTTTGATAAGAACTAGTAAAATAATATCTATTCATATTATATACAAAAAAATGAAAAAATATTTAAATTTAATTTAAAAAAGTAGTTAAAGAAAAAGAGTAACTAAATAATTTTAGTATATAAAATCAGCATATAAAAAATTATTAATTTAATTTACTGATCTACTAAGATATTTTTATATTTTAATCAATAAAATATTATAACAAGTCTATTTTAACACTACACTTAATATCTAAAGAAATAGTAACATCTATTAAATCACTACTTTCTAATGTATAATTTAAAGATATTTACATAGATAAAGTTATCATATATTATTAATTATACTATTAAGATCAAAGTTTTTTATTATTATTTATAAGTAATTTTTTTGTAAAAAATTTATTTATAAATTTAAATATTATTCTGATTATGAGAAGTTATATAAATTTCAACTAATTCTTTAAATCTAATTGCTTTATAAATATCAATTCAATCTATATAAAATCATTGTAAGATACTGAAAATTTTAAATTAATCTAAAATTTCATCTTATTAGAATTCATTCTAATTAAACAATTTATATATTGTTTAAATTAAACATATTATTATCATATTATAATGATTTTATCATTTTATTAAATAATAATAGTATCTAATAAAACTACCTTTTTTTAATATGATGAAACTGACAAAACTAATAATAAAACTAATTTTTATAAATAATGAAATTATTTTACTTTAATTACTGAAATTATATTTGAATTTCTTGAATTAATATACATTAAAATATATTATAATTTTATATTTATTCATATAAAAATATTAAAGAGACAAATTCTTTTGATAAAATTACAATTTTTTAAAAAAAATTTTAAGTGAATATGGGTCGGTGCAAAACATTTGTACCTCGTCAAATAAGATAAAGATTTGCGCCAAAAAAAATATGGTACGACTATAATAATGGTAGGCTGAAAATCCATTTCCGGTTAATATAAATCCAATTAAACCTTTTTC